ACTTGTAAGTATAGTTAAAATAGAGAAAAATGCAAGATCGAAGATGAAAATTTTGATTTTAAATCAATATGTTTGAAATTAAACAGCATTAATTATTCTTAACTTTGTGAATAAATTGCTGATTAATCATGTAAATATAATAAAACAACCAATAAATGTGAGATTGCAACAGGAAATAATTATGATTGTATTCGTGGATTGAATAAAATGGCATGTTACAATTTAACTGATAAATCATAATAATGCAAATATCTAAATTATTGTTATGGACCAAATGATAAAATACTGGAATGTAATCCTAATAATTATTATGATTGCTGCCGTGAAGCATTAACCAAAGAGTCATGCTTATTTCAAAAAAGATTTGAATGTTAATGGCAAAATGGATGTTAGGCTTATCAATAAAAAATTTAAAATGAATGCAATTAAATTAAAGATGCTTCAGTAACTGTTTGCACATCTATAAAGGACTCATTTTGTATATTTGATGCTGAAAACTTCAATTGTAAATAAATTACTCCTGAAAGTTGTGATGAAATCTAAACTTCTGATCAATGCAATAAAATAACAGAATATCCTTGTATCTGGGAAGAGCTTAATGAAATTTGCATCTATAAAGATAAAGATATTTTAGATTAATGCACCAACATTAGTGATAATAATGGCAATTTGAAAGCATGTACTATGATAGAAAGAATTGGTTAAAAATGTATATTTATAGATAATTAATGTAAGACATTTTACTAAAAAGATGGGATTAATAACTGTATTAATAATATTAATATTACATCTTGTTTATAATAAAATGTTAGTCCGTGTGAATGGGCGATAAAAGAAGTAAAAGTAAAGAAAACAAAGGATATTACAAAATTGGAAACCATAAAAATAGGAGAGTGCTAATAATTTACTGATTTTGATAATAGAGACTGTAATTTACTTCTAAGTTAAAAATCATGTATATCAGTTAGAAAATTAGGGTAATTTTGCAGATGGAAAAATAATTAATGCCAAAACTTTTCTTTATCTGATTATTAGATTAATAAATATAGGCAACCTGAATTAGCTTAAATAGTTAATCCAAATGTTTGTGGATTATATTAAGATTAAAGATTAATTTCATATTCTTAAGAACTTGCATCATGCATTGAAGTAAAAGATTCAAGCAAATTATCTTGTTAATAATCAAAATATGGTTTAAATTCAGTATCTTGTTTCAAAATTTAATCTGAATCGTGTAAGTGGAATCCTATCCACAAAACATGTGAATAAGTCACAATAAATAATACAAATCTTACAATATCTTGTGATTTGCCTGGCCTCAATTCAAAAGCATGTACATTAATTGAAATAAATGATAGTTGCGGTTTTATTGGCAACGGTTGTGGTAAAATAGATTTAAATGTTAATTGCAAACATTAAGGATTAAACAAATTTGCATGTTTAACAATTTTGAACTATCCTTGTGCTTGGATTAAGAATGAAGAGGATGAAAACTATCATTGTGATGACTATTAACCATATGATACTTGCAACAATATTAATCTGCAGGTTAACTCTATGGTATGCTCATCTGTTTAAATTGATGCTTGTTATTATAATAAATAAACTCAAAGTTGTGAATCTCCTAAAGAAACTTTGGATGTTTGTGATATTGAGGGTTTAAATTACATAGCATGTTCTGAAATAAAAGGATGTTATTTTGAAAATCATAAATGCTAAACACTTAATGAAGAAACATATATTTGCCTTTAATATCCTAAAGCTCATTAAGATATTTGTAAAAATGCTTATGATTTATGTAAATATAGTCCTTTAAATTATGGTTGCGTACCTGCTTAATCCAATGAAATATGCAAAAGAGAAGGTTTAAGTTAATCCGGTTGTGTCAAATCATAAAATTAGTGCTTTTGGAATAAAAATAATTGTGAATGCTTGAGCATTTAAAATGTTTTTCCATTTTGTGATTAAATAGTTGACTTTCAAAAATGTAATAAATTTAAACATTGCTAATATGACTATATGAAAACAAATAATAATGAAGTTAATTAATAAATTGAAAATTAAAATTTAGGGACTTGCAGACCAAAGCTTTGTTCAGATCTTAATAATTAAGAATGTTAAGATTTCAATACATTTAATATTTCTTGTTATTTAAGCAATGAAAATTAGTGTAAATAGGCAAATTCATGTAAAGAGGTTAGAAATTCATATGAGTAGTGCTCAAGCTTAACCATAAATGGTATGCCTTGTATTTAAGGTAGTGATTAAAAATCATGTAAAAAATTAGTATGCTCAGAATTAGATAGAGTTATGTGTTTGAAATTTTCTAATTATTGCAATTATGATGAGTATTGTTAAACGAAATAATGTTAAGAATTAGATATAGAATAAGTTTGTAGGTATTATAATTGCGAATGGAATATAAAGACTAAAAAATGTAAGGATAAGTTAAAATGCGAATCATATGAGACAGAATAAGATTGTAATTAAAGTACTTTTAACAATATTTAATGCAGTTGGCTGACTTATAATTATAAAAGTTTTTGTGTCTAAAATGGTTGTGAATAATTTTCGAAAAGTAGAGGTTAATCATGTACGAATTATAGAGTATAGAACAATTTTTGTGTAAATCTTTAAGATGATACATGTCTCTAATGTGAGGAAATTAAGGATTCTTGTTTATGCATTGATCAAGAGTATTGTAGCTTCAATTATACTTTGAGTTAATGCTAATCCATAAAATGCAATTATTTAATCGAAGAAGAATGTTAACAATTTAGTTTTTGCTAATTCAATTCTGAAAAAAAAGTAAAATATAAACACTTATCTAGAATTGCCATTTTAATTGCGCTTATTATGATAATTAACCCGATTGCTATAACGATTCTACAAATTGTTATTGGAATGATGAAAAAAAAAATTGCACATAATCATAAGTACAAATTATATACCCCAAAATTCCAGATCTTATTATAGTAGAATGGGAACTACTTATATCTGTTTGCAACCTTGTTTGGGTACTATTTTGACTCAAAATAATCTTTAGTTTTTAAAATTAAATATAATAATGTTACATACTAACCAATTTTTTTTTTAATCATATAATATTTTAAAATAATTAGAATTATGATAATAAACCTAGCGTAAAGTTAATTCAAATTCAGTCTATATTCTCATACTCAATATTAAAGAATTTAAATGAGTATTATTATTCTAAAAATTATACTATGGATATCCGAAACTACAATAATTGAGGAAGGTTCCTTATATATGTAGAATTTTTCTAATTAAGTACATAATTTAGAATTTTTATCCCAAGTACAATATGATTCAAAATGGTTACATTGCTAGCGGTTATAATTATTTTCGCAAAGTGGAATACATATCTACTTTATATGTTGATAAATACCTGGCCCTTCTCATTAAATTAACATCTGTCAGCCGGACAAGTTTCATGATTGAAGCTTCCACATTATTTAGACTTACAAAGATTATCAAATTTATCATATTCACAATAATTTTCGTACTACAAACAAATACAAGGATCCATAATCTCTTAACAACTTACACAGGTTGAATCTGATAAAGGAACACAGACATCATCACCAATTTAAGCTCCATTACACAAAGAATACTTAATTAATAGATACCTACATCCTATAACTGAACAAAAATAATCCTCTCCTTCCTCTTCAATTAAAGCACACTATTTACCATTTTGTTAAACTAACATGCAATTTTCTTTGTTTTGAGAAGCACAAAATTGTGAGTTCATACAACTTTTATTTTATTCAAGCCATTCACATTTCTTGTCAACGCATTTCTATTTTATAGTAAAACGATAACATTCTAATGTCTTACATATTTCCTCAAAAATGCAATCTTGAGGAAATTATTAACAGGTTTAAAAATCTAACCTCTCACAATCTGGTGAAGTTACACAATTCTTATTATTTTAATCTCTAAAACATTGTTTATTCTTTAGGGTATATTTCAAACAATCATTTTAAGGATTCACTATATCATCACATGTTTTTGCCAAATTGCATTTATTATCCTAGGTTAAATAACATATATCAGTATCTAATTTCTAACCGTCACATTAATCTATTGAATAATAATCGCATGTCCTTCTTAAACATTTTACTAAATTTTAATCGATTATTTCTTAACTAATATCAACATTATATTAAGGATTAGATGGTGCAACATAACAATAATTTAAATTTTAACATTTTCTGGAATTTGTGATAAATGAGCAATCTGGATATTAAGTTAGTATAGCCTTACATAGACATTGAGATTAATTCCATTGACAATCTAATAAATCATCGCAGCCAACTTAATTAATCCCTTTTGTTGAACATATATCCTATAACTCTGATGATATGCAACCATATCCTAAATTATTATATTTACATCTATTCCTTTAAATTTAAGTACAAACCTTATGATTAGAAAATAGAGCATCTTCACAATTTAAATTCATCGTTTTTTCATATCTCATACACCTACCTTGTAAATAAACACAATTTTCAATTTTAGAACATCCAATACCATTAATACCTGGTAGATTACAATTAATTTCTTATTGGGCTTTAAATAAAATGCAATTTCTTATTATAGAATTATAAAAGCAAGGAGCATCTAAAATTTAAGTGCATACAAATGCATTAACCTAATGATTATAGCCTAAACAAGCATCAAAATCTTGAATTAATTTACATTAATATTATTAAAGATAATCATCTTAGACCCATCCACAAGGATAATTTGTGATTTAAAGGCATGCATGCTCATTTAACCCTGGATAATCACAAGAAATTTTAGTTACATCAACTTGATCACAATCATTTTCTTTTGATCCACAAGGAAGAGATACTTATAATGATGAACATGATGCAGGGTTAACATTTTTTAAGCTGCAACTACCACTCTATATATCTAATTTAAGACATTTTTTTTTTGTGTCATCCCATTTACATTGTTGGTCTTTAATATTCAAACAAGCTTGCTTATTCATACCTTTAAAATTGCAAGTTAGATTCTTTAGATTTGATGCATTTAAGCATTTAAAGTACTTAGTATCGCATATTACACTAGAACCATCATTTATTAATCCACATGTATTACAGTTACACTAAGATAAGGATGAGAAAGATAAAATTTAATTAGTTTCAACATTTTTACATTAATTGTCTTTCCATTAACAAAATGTAACAGGGGTATTAATATTCAAACAAGCAAGATAACTAAGATTTGAATCACATTAATGACTAGATTGTTGATTGAAATCAAGACATAGTTATTTTTAATTTTGATCCCAAATACATTCGTATAATACTTATTATAAGCAAGATAATTTATTCACTTTTTATGAACAGCCTACCACTTATTATTACGTATAATCAGTGCATTGATTTTAAAAGATACACATTTATCCTTGTTTTACAACATCTAAGCATGTTCTTTCGCTACCCCATTAATCTTATATATCTTAACATCCATCATTAGGATTCTTTACTTTTGTTAAGCATTAGGCTTTGATAAAATCCCAATAACAAGGTAAATTATTAAATTAAATACATTATTCTTTTGTTTAAACTTATTCACAATGATTTGGTTGAATTTCTACACATCCTAATTTATCGAAATTGAAAATACAAATAGCATAATTAATGCTGTAACATACTTTTCTTGAAACATTATTTAAAGTTAAACATTCTTAATTCGATACTGAATATTATTTACATTCTTCATTTTACCATTAACATAAAAATTTATCCTAAAATAAACAACTTTCAATAGTATTAGCTTAGAAGCAACAATCTTTGATTTTTATAGGGTCACAGTTAAGAATATTGTAATTAGGTCCGTAACAGTAATTATAGAATTTACATTATAAAGATTATTAAGTATGTGTCAAGCAAGCAATTTAATTCAAACCTCTTATGCATTAAAATTCTATATCTCCTTGGGCATTTTCGCATTTATGCTCTAAGGAATTGTATTTGCAAGGAACATCAAAGGTTTTTTCACAAAATACTTAGCTATTAATTTAAGAGGTACTTTTACAAATACCTGACCGTATTTCTAAATTTATAAGCTCACAAATATTATTTTAATCATTAAATTGGCAAAATTGTCTTTTTGTAGTGATATTTAAGCACCCAATTTTATTTGAAACTTGATTACATTCTAATTAAGAATATTCACTAGGATTTATTGCAACACATTTATTTTAATCTATTTTACATCCTTCTCTCAAAGGCTTGTTGCATTCATTACCAGGAAATTCACTACAATATTTAATATTCTCAGTTGCCTTTTTTTAATAGCAACCATTTGAAAAAGTACAATCTGAGGATTTTAAATAACATGCTTTTTTACTATATCCAAGTTATTCTGGATTAGCTTCTACGCATTGAATTTGGTTAATTGATATAACCTCCTCACATGAATGCGTTTAACTATTAAATTAGCAGGCATAAATTTCATTTACTTAGCAAAAAATTCCTGAATTTACTTTCTAAATATTACTGCAAAGAAATGATTTAAAATTTTAAGGATCCTAAAATTAACATTCATTTTCTATAAACTTACAATATTAGAAAGGTGTCTATATTGATAAACATGCAACTTCATTTAATTTATCATTGCATTTTAAAGTTGATGCCTCAGTATTCAATGCCTCTATACATTCACCTATCCATTTTGTTTATAATTTTACTAAACTAGTTACTGAATCTAATCGAGCCATATTATTTATGATGCATGCAAGAAGGTTAAATGAGTTTAGATTCTCAACAAAATAATCCTAATTTATGATTTCAATTTTATCTTAAGGATTTATAAACCTTATACATTGTTTTGTCACAATGTTATAAAAGCATGGTATGTCTGTACTTTTTGAACAGGTAATTGGATTAGTTTTAAATGAATGAATACATTTAAGTAATTCTCCTTAAGAAATTATCAATAGAATAACAACCTTTGGATGAATCAAATGCACAGTGTTAACCTTTGGTTTTGATTGAATAACATTTATCTTCATTAATCATATCTTCACATTAAGCTTATCCAAAATCAAAAATGCATTAATCATCTTGAAATCTACAAAGATAACCTTTTGTTTAGAATAAGCAACTTCTTCTATTTAAACCTGGACTTGAGCATTAGAAATTATCTGTTTTTTATACAATCTCACAAGTATTTGAGGTAATATTTAATTTACAATTTTGATCATTTGTGGTTGCACAAACTGAAGCTTTAACTATAAATTTAGATTTAGATAAAGATTCACAAGTATCAACTTTTAAATCAATAGATTAACATTTTATTCCATTGAATTTACAATAAGAGGGTAAAGATATACAAGAAACCCAGTTTAAATCTTTGTCAGGAAAACAATTATTAATAGTTTTCAAAGTTTATTAAGATGTTAAAATGCAACTATTTTCATTTTAATTATATTCACATGTTTATAATGTTTTTTATAAACAAGCATACTTATTCATTGTAAATTTATAACAATTATCAATAAAAGGTTATCTATTCGATACATTAATACATCTATTTTATATTTCACTATATATCAAACAATCTGTTATTTGTTAATCTATAGCATAACAAACACTTTTAGAATAAACGAATAATAAAGTAGAATTAATGATATCATTAATTGTATTTACTTAATGAAGAGAACAGATATTATTCTCAAATTTACATGTTTATTTTTAAGAAATACAAGCCTATTTATTTAATGAATCAAGACATCCAATTTAATCATTTGTATTTTCTATACATTAATGTTGTTCATCTTTAAATTAACATTATCCTATTGATCTATTAATACAACCAAATTTATTTAATCCTTAAGTATTACATTTAATTATATCTGTAATAATAGTTTATCTACATTAATAATAATTATCTAAGAAACAACTTGATTGAATCTTTAATTAAGAACAAAGTTTTTAACTAAAATGTGTAATATATGAATTTTCATTACTTTATAAAGGAGATTCGCATGATTATGCATTGTTATTTGCATAAGTTAATTAACATTTATAAAGATCTGACCATACACATGACATGATTGATTAATTTAAACATCCAAATTTATTTAAATCTGAACATTATGTAATTTGATTATCATTCTTCATACACTTTAAATTAATTGAATCCCATAAACAAGATTCCTTTAATGAAAATAAGCAAAGATCTTCATTTAATAATAAATTACAAGAACCCTAAGTTGGATCAAACTATGTACAATAACCAATATTCTAATCAAACCAACAATCTTACTAGAATTATATACAAGCATCTTCATTATAAATTGAACAATCTCTACTATCAGATCCGGTTATTCTATCTATTTATTTACATTCATAATCTTCCCATTTACACTTTATCCCTTTTGTCATTTATAAACATGCCTATTTATTTAACAGATCGCATTTTGAAACACTTGTGGTCAGAAGATAATAGCAAATATGATTATTAATCTCATATTAAGTACTAGCACCCTTACATAGAGTGCAGGCTTTCTTTGTTGTGTAATATCCCTTCAATTGCTCGCATGTATAATGAGTTGCATCTTCGCATTTATTATTATTAACTTTGCATGCCTATTCAACCAAAGTACAAACAACAGACTTGCTCAGAATATTTAATTGATTAACTTCATGACATAAATAATATTTGTTTGATGCATCTGGTCTTAGTTATGGAACAAGTGGATATTATTGGCAATATCCAACAAAATCAAATACACATTTGCATTCTTCACAAAGCGATTTACTAAAACTTGAATCACAAATACATTCACCTTATTCATTTTTTTCTGCAGTTTCTACGCAACTATCTAACTCAAAACGACAGAAGTCAATCGCCAATGCACAATAAGCAGGAGAAGCATCTTAAGTAATATCTTTGCAATAAATATCTTCAGTAAGCGTCACAGGATCACATATCTAGATTTACCTCTCCATAGAGATACATTAAATTTCATTTGGGAATATTTTCATTTATCCAGCTTTACAAATCACTTTTTGATTAGAACTGCTCAAACAAGAGTTTAAGAAACTTTTAGGTTAACATTCTGTGCTACTTTTACAAATCGGTTTGTTTGGATCACATTACAAGGCATTTTCCGAAGGTTTACATCTGCTAGAAATTGATGAACAATTAGGTATTTTATTTTCATTTCCTTTTAATTATTAACATCCTCCTTAATTTAAATCAAAGAAACATTCTTCTAAGACACCATTTAAACAAAGTGATTTTGAGAAAGTATTTTTGCATCTTAATTCAATATAACCAAATCCTTTACAAATAGGAACTACTTTATAAATAGTTTTCTAAAAACAATTTGCTTTTTATGTATTCCATGATATTTCAACATAATCTGGACAATCAGTGCTATTTGTACAATTTTACTAGCCATGAGTGCATTTATGAAACTGGCATATATTCTGATATGACTCCGTTTTTTACTAAGTTGTACCATTATATTATATATTAAAAGTATGCTCGTTCAAGCCGCATTCATAATCTTGTTAACAATTCTTAATTTCAGAAGAAGAAGTATTGCATCTCCCTTGGCAAGATTAATGACCAATTAGAGCATCACTAATAATTTCTTATGGATTTTAGTCACTTTATTGATTGCAGATCATATCACCGTTTTTTTAACATCGTTTTGAGCATAATTAATTTTACTTAATACCTAAATACAACGTGCCATCATCATTTATTTTAATTGGATCTTTGTAAATGGTTGGACAATCAGAATCTGTTTAACAAAGTTTATCTTAATAATCACATGTTTTATTTAAGCCACATTGTAAAGGAGCAGAAGTTCCTGGAAATGTTATATTCTATGGGGACTAATATTATTCTGGTGTTTTCACGAATTAATTGCAGTAATTTGTACAATTATCTCTTTAATACCTGTATTCATAAACTGAACTTTTTTCGGTATTTTCTTTATCAAAAAATAATACATTTAAAATTTTGACTTAACACCCATAAATTTGATTATGCCATTCACAATTATTTTCATAATTACACTTTTACTTTTTATCTTCGCTCCCAAAACATTGATCTTCAGAATAAGTCTATGTTATTGATTCATCAATGGAAGAGCAAGATAATTTATTATAATGATTTCCATTATTTAATTAGGCACCTAAAGAAGAGCATGTTTAAGACTGAGAAATATCTGCAACTAAACATTATAATTTGGATTTAGAAAAGTAACATTATTTAGAAATATCCATGCAAACTTCAATATTTATAAGATTGGAAGTTGTACATACTGATTAATCATCTGTGAAAAATTAACATGGAGGCATTTTAGTAGTATCATATACACAATTATATCCTCTTGTCAAATATAAGCAAGCATATTAATTTATCATCTATTAACAGGAGTTTTGATTATTCGAATCTTCAATAAACATGCACCTATTAGTTGTTTCATCGTATCTATATCCTGCTCCTGTTATTTCTAAACAAGACAATGGATTAAACAAATTATTTTTATTTAATTCTTTGAAATCGCTATAAGGAGTTTAATTAAAGGTAACACATTCATATAATGAATCATCCCACATGCAAGGTTCCTTAGTTACTTACTTACATAGAACATAATTTAAATTATCATTGCATCCTAATTCAACTATTTATTTTAATGACCCTATTTCATAACATGTTGAGTTTTCAATACTCCATCGACAATTTCCCTATGTATTTTTATAGCAAGTATATTTATTAGTTCCGGTTACATCACATTTATTTGAACTTTTATTTGTCAAAATGCATTTATAATTTTACCATTCACATTATTAATTAGGAAGGTCAATCTATGAGCACGCCTTTTATGATACGTAACCTCTAGAATCAAAATAGTTACATGGAACATAAGTAGAAGCAGTTATGCATCTATCTAAATCAAATGAAAAAAAACAAGAAGAGTAAATATTTTCTCTACATGCTCTGATATTTTAATTCTGATCGCAAGTAGTTATATCTGCAAATTCATCTAATGAGATTGTGACACATTTTAATAGCTTTTTATCCCATTTACAATAATTATTTTCGGTAAATCTTAAGCATATATTAGAATTGCCTTGAACATCCTCACATCGTGCATAATATGGAGGTGAAGTTTAATAATTCCTACTAATACAACGATGATTTTAAGGATCGTATTCAAAATATTTTTCTATGTTGAAAAAAGTTAAGGATGCTTCAATTGCCAAACAAGCAAAACGATTTAAAATAGAAGGAGCTTCTGTAAAAATTTTATAATTCTTATAGTTTTCAAATTTGATGTTAACGCATGAAAAACCATTAAAATAACATCTTTAAGAAGTCGACCATTCAATCATATGACATGAATTTATACCCATTTATGAACACTTAAATCCATCAACCTCATTAGCATTAAAAAATTGTTTAACAGCTTCTTCATTTGTTATATCAACTTAATTTTATGTCAATTCATTACATCTACCATTATGAAAGTAACAATAACTACTAGAATTCTTGGTTAAAAAACTGCATGAATGTTAATTTATTCCATTAAATTTACCCTCTGTACAACAATTTGTTTCACAAACTTCATTTCCACCTAAAACTTCACAAGAAAAAGTATTTGAATTATATATACAATAGCCAACTTTTTATTTTTCATTAGGAGGTATATAATCTGGATTATCCAAAGCTACTTCTGCGCAAACATTACTGTTAACGTTTTTAAAGTTTTTGCATTTTTAATTTAAGCTCACGCTGACTTCTCCACATTTATCTAATGTTTCTTTCCATCCACATAATTATCCTGGTTTTGATATTAATTTACATATCTTTTCTGTAGGAGAACTTTTAATACATTCTAAATTGTCCAAACTGCTAACCACAATTACATCATTATTTGAACTAGTATTTTAAGGGGTATCGTCAGTTGAAGTATGTGAATTAAAGAGCTGACATTCTTAGGTTGATTGATTGAAGTAACATTAATCCTCTAATTAAGAACAAGCATTTGCATTCAAGCCAGGCTCATCACATCTCATTTATTATTTAACAGAATTGATACACCCTTTAGCAGAAAGTTTATATCTACAAGGTTCTGATTTAAATTAAATCATAGCACAACTCTTAGAATTTGAATATATCATTTCTTAACAAGAAACATCTGAAAGCTCTTTAGGATTAAAAATCTTAACGCATTCATTTTAATACCACCTACAGGCCGTCTATGGTTTGATTATACTAGCACAAAGTATTCTATTTAATCCTAATAATTTGTTTTCACAATCCAGTGAAACTAATAATGCAGTTTAATTATCTAATTAATCTACTTTTTAACATCTTTGATATGATTTATTATAATAACACCCAGATACTTCGTTTTCTATTACTTGAGAACAGGAATTAGGATTTGCATTGCCTAAGCTTTCGCAAGTTGTTTAATATGGCAAAATGGCTATATATATGCAACCATTAATTGTCCATTAACAAGTTTATTTATATTTTGTTATATTTAAGCAACCAAGAAAATTTAAATATCTGGAATTACAATCATCTTCTGGAGAGCTTGGAACACATTGTTTTGAAATATCATCATATTTACAAGCTGCATTATTATTTGATATATTTTGACAATAGAGTCCATTATATTTAAACTTGTGATTATCTTTAATTTCGCAATTTACTACTTAATTTAAAAAAATTCTTTAACAATTGATTCCATCCCATTAACAATATTAAAATTATGTTTTTATATTAATACAAGCCTCTTCATTTAATAACATATCACAACCAAATGTATTTAAATCTTCTTCTGATAAATTCTCACAAAACCCTCTATAAAAAGTGCAATTAGTATTTTTTATAAGTAGACATGCCTTTTTACTTAATCCAATTTCAGAGCAAGATAAATTATTTAATTAAGATTGAGTTACTTCCTCACAACTTTAAGTTTCAATATTATATGAGCAGATACCATCATAATTTTCACATACTAAATAATTCACATTCACTATTTAATTGCATTCTTGGTTGTCATTTTAAAATATTCTACAACCTTCAACTGTCCATTCACATTATAGATTATTGATTTTAGAAGAAAGGCAGGCATGCTTGTTGAGAATGTTATCGCAGGAGTCCAATAAACTTACATCTGTAAATTTGCACTGATTATCCTTAAATATACCTTCTGTTATGAATTATAAATACAAGTTTGATCCTTAGTGGTAATAGAAATGCATCCGTTTTTATTTAAGCCTTAATGAGAGCATTAAATTTCTGAAAGCTCATTTTCTAATAATGTTAAGCATTAGTAATCCTATTCCATTCCTCCATGATAACCTAATTTATTTGTTGAATTTACATCGAAGATTTTTTATTTTTGCGCACATCTGAGAAGTTACAGATTGATTATAGTATGATTCACATGTATTATCTTCATTATTTTAATCCGAATTTTCAATTGGATATTATTTACATTCTCCTTACCATATACAATCTTAATTCACTACATTAAGACAAGAAAACTTAGAGAAATCTGGATCACATCCTAAAGATTTTAAATGTAGATTTGTTGCTCTAACACATTGACTTTAAAATAAACCTAAGCAATATTATTCAATAACATACATCTAACTTCATTGTTTTGTTTATCTATCTATTGTGCTATGCAAGCATTTTTGTTCAAATTATTCATACAACCGTAATCAGTATCATAGAATTCAATGCATTTTGTTTCGGCATAATTATATTAACCTAAAATAAAGACTTAATTTACAAAAGGCGTCTAAGGTTTATTAAATGCATTAAATTGGGCTAAATGGATATAAGCTACAAATATTGCTAGCCTAGTAATAAGAGATCAACAAAAAAATGAACAAATTCTATTTAATCATTGTATCAATAAATAATTAATATCATTTTTTGTTTATCATCACATATTTTATCATAATTGATATTTATTATATAAAATATTTTATAGAATAATTAAATATCATTAATCAATTGGATTAATTTCCAAATGAGACTTTAGAAAATATGATTATAGAAATGAAAATTTAGAAATCTGAATTTATCAACATTAAAGTATAAAAATTAGAAATTATTCAATTTTCATAAAAGAATAACCTAAAAAAAATTGAAAATCAGAAATGCATTCTACAAATGTCGAAAATACTTCAATTTAAAAGGTCATAAACACATTAATTTACATTAAATTTAAAAGAATAGTCATAATGAAAATACTAGTGGAATAATTTAAACAAGATAATTAAAGTTTAATATAATAAAGATAAAAATTGAATATGGGAAATATTCTAAGCAAACCCAAATTTAGATTTCTGAGCTTTATTTTGTAGCTTCTCCATTGTTAGAGAAATTTATATTAAAATAACTCATACTCTTTCTAAAGTGGATTTTAATAAATTTAATTCTTTTCTCTAAACTGCTATTTGTTTTAGGTGGTGTTCATAACTATCTATAGCAAAGGGTTTGAACTAATTTCAACTACCTTTTTAATGATCCAATCAATATAGAGGCTAATACCGCCTAAAAACATATTTTAAGTAATGTTGTAATGGTTGCATTTTATAAATTAATATATAAATTTTATAGAACATACTCAAAATGTTGAAGAGAATTAAAATATATGAATAATTAGTTTGATTGTCACTGGTTCTAATATCGGATATAAAGAGATAGCAAATATGTTTGTATTATGACAGTAAATTTTGAGAATTGTGATTATTGATAATTAAATATTATAATAACAATCTATTTTAATGAGCAAGTTAAACTATGTATTTAAGCCGTTATTTATTGACACCACTGAGTATAGTTACATGGATGGCAAGACTGAGAAATCATTCACAATAAAAAATAAACTAGAAACAAAAAATGGAAAAGGAAAAATGTAATAAAGTGAACCGCTTGCCTAATTTAAGGTATTTTGTCTTTGAATAAAATAAAGAACGATACGATGAAATAAAGCAATAATAGAGCTTAAACCAGTAGGTGGCTGAGGTAATCTTCTTTTGCAAAAAATTCAACAATAAATTCCAATACGCCACTAAATAATTGTATAATAAAAACAGAAAGTAGAATGGAAGATGAAATTATTATATCAAACAGCAGGAACACTTCTGAAAAAAGAAATATCAACATTCCCCCATTAAATTACGTTGATTTTAATGTACACGTTCTATATAACCATAGTATAATAGATTTCAGTGATGAATGGAGAAGGGAGCTATTCATTTTATAAAGCTTTAAAACTAATAAACAAAGATTAACTATTAATGAGAAAGAAAAAGAAGTCTGCTTAAAACTCAAAAACTGTTTCAACTTAAGAGAATGAAATAACTTAATTTGAACAATTAGAGAATTAACACCCTAAAGATATGATGGAAAAAATAAGTAAAATGCTTGCTATCAATGAAAGATATACTCCAGTTAGAAAACAAAGTCGAACAAGGGAGACTTTTACAAGGAATTTAAAATTTTTAGATTAATCATTTTAAGAATCGACGTCACCGGATAAAAAATTATAATCCGTCATTTAAAATTATTTTGATAAAAAAAAAGCACATGAGGAAGAATAAAATAAATAATAAGAAATCACCTTAACTTAGCTTTCAGAGTAAACGAGACCAAATAAAAATAACAATAGAATGAGAATATCTACAACTTTTTTAAAATAATTGGTTCATTAAGTAGATGAAGAATAAAAACAAAAATAAACTAAATTTTAAAACAACAATTTTTAATCACTTAAATCATCCTAATTCAAAGATAAAATTAAAAAAAAATAAAATGCCATATTTAGTATCCAAGTTAGATTAATATTTAAAAAAATGTTTAATTAGATTCTGAATTGCGTCAGAAAAATGAAATTAATGAAATTAACACTAAAAGAAATATTTCAAAATGGAGTCATCTAAAAGAAGGCATATGAAAGAGAAGGCTCATTCTAATTTTTTGAGGGAATAGAAGATGATAATCTATAACTTATAAATTTTATGCTCTTAAAATGTAGATATTATGCATTCGATATAAACGAAGAAGGAAAAACACCTTTACATATAAGTTCAAAAAAAGGATTCTCATAAATAACAGAAAGATTACTTTAATCCGGGGCCTATATTGATTCTGTAGATAAGGATGGCAAAACTCCATTATATTATGCTATATAATCTTAGCAAAAACAGACAGTTTTGCTTCTATTATATTATAAAGCCAATCCATGGTCCATTAATAATTGTAAATATCAATGCAGCAATACAGATATTATGCATTTGATAAAGATATCAAGATAAGTAAATTTAATTTTATACTTAGATTCATCTTATACTGCTTTTAACAAAATATAGTGATAGAGATAGACAATGGTAGGAATCAAGAAAAAAATTACTGTGTTGATTATATTTATTATTAAAGTTCAAATTATTTACTTAAAAAAACTAATGTATCCAGTATTTTATAAAAGATACTTTTTCTTTTGCACTTAATACTTCTTACTAAAATTGTAAATAACTATAGATAAATAATTGGAACATCCAAATAATACCTCAAAATAACCAAATGATCTCTAATTAATTTTCTGATCTCAAAAACCTTATTCTATTATTAACAAAATAAAAGGTTTTAATCAAAATTAATATATAATACTTTACATTACCAGGCTTTATTGATTCATAAAGATATAAAAAAATTCATATTTATTATTTTAATAATTTTTAATAAGATATATCTAGTTGTGTATGTTTAAAATAATTAAACAAAATCAAAAATTATCAATAAATCAAGTTTACTCAGGGCATTTCTATTTCTCCATACTACAGTAATTTCTTTTCGTACATCAAATAGTCATGATCCGAAATGAACAATTAATGATCCATTAATTCTAAAAATTCTAATTCAAGAACTAAAATCTCTTTTGTGCTAACTCCTCCGACTTTTGCATAATATTCATTTTTATAATATTCATCATCCTAAAACTTTATAGCTATCACAATAGAAATCAGCAGAAATCTGATAAATTAAAAAGGATACCTATGTATGCATTTTGAATTGAGTACAAAGTAAGGATGTTTTTCTTACAACCTGTCCAAATAAATTAATGCGATTACAATACATCCTTCACTACAATTGGTGTATTTTGATATTCTTTATAAGTAATTGTATATTGATATTGATGGTGCTTTTGTTGCATGGAAATAGGATATTTAATCTTACTCTATTTCTAGAGCATCAGTTTGTTTAATTATTTCATCCAAAATGTCGGCTATTGTAGTAAGTATCTGATTATGTCGGTGCATTAATAGATATTATTTTCAATATAAATATTTCATAACTCATTAATCGAATCTCTTTTTAATAAACTTATTTCTGTAATACTGCTCAACTCATTTTTGGATACATAAGAATGTCTTCCACAAATTCTCGTTTTTGCCATAATAATCAAACAAAAGAAATTGTTCCTGCCCCTTCATATGTTTAATCACCTATTTTAGGTTATAAAGAACTAATCAATATTTACGAAATGTTTTATCCACGAATTAAAATTTTATAATTAACAATTTTATCAATGGATTTCTCTTCTCAATACTTTCCCCTTTTCTTATCTTTATATAAATAATCATAACTATTAAATTAAGATAAATTAATCTCTGTCCATATTTTTCGTTAT